TTCCTTAAAATTCTTTTGTGTCTTGAGAAAATAAAATAGGACAATTGAGTACTACAGCCTGTTGGTTCTGATTATCCAAACATGTTGTACTCTGCTCATTTTAAAGAAAGTAAAAAAAAAAGAAAATTTACCTTGTATTACCTTGACCTCTGAGTCCTTGGTGAATAAAAAGAAGGCAGGAGCTTTCTGCGCAGATTTATGCAATACAGGGAAGAAAAAGGGTGAAGAGTTCCATGTAAACAGAATTCTGTAAATGTACACAAAGAAATTGCATTATAGAAAAAAATAAGGATTGCCTCATGCTAATGCTGTCATATTTACTAAATAATGCAACTCCATTACTTCTAAATTCATTTTCATATGCCCCAGCATAAGAGTTGCTTCTTAGTTTGTAGCTATTAAGGAAAACATTTTTAATTGAGGTCATCCCTTCGCAAACACAATTCATTAATATACTAATTGCACTATTTGGAGAGAGGGTGGTATATTAGGAAATACCTGGTTTTTGATTTACACTTTTCCGGGAAGAAAGGAATTTATTTGCTAAAGCCAAGTTTATCTTGAAATCATCAAAGAATTTGCTGCATGGCCTGGGGTGGAAGACAGTATTCAAATGGAGTCATTTACAGAAAAGCAGAGAAAGGTCGAGAAATGTTTGCCCTGTTTTCCAAAGAAAACAGACTGGCTCGTGATCTCTTCTGCCAGAAGTTTCTCAATAGGCAGGTAAAGATAATAGTTCACCTGCCATGGTGTCACGCCTATTCTTCTTCCAAAAAGATTGAACATTATTTAGGGAATTTAGATTAACCCTCATACCAAGTGAATATCTTCTAGAATGCCTTCTGAAAAGTTCCATCCCATTTCTTATTTACTTTGACAAAACTTGATAATCAAGAACCAGTTTAAAATAATGTGTGAAAGAGAAAAATTTCCTCTGTGTGTGTGTGTGTGTGTGTGTGTGTGTGTGTGTGTGTGTGTGTGTGTGACAGTACTAGAGCTTGAATTCAAGGCTTTGCACTCTGAAACTTTTCACCTAATGGTTGGGACTTTAGTCGTTCACTTACAACATTTTTTTTGGAAATAAGAGTCTCTTGGATATGTCTGCCTAAGCCTCTCTAAACTGTCATCCTCAGATCTCAGCCTCTTAAGTAGCTAGGATTATAGGTATGAACCTGCAGGCCCCAACTGACTCGTAGACCTCTTACCTGCACTGTGCGTCAACTATGTGAGTTTTCAATCTTCACCGTTATTACTAATAAAGACCCAAAAACAAAAAAAAAATTGACTGATCAGTATATCACTGGCTATTTAATATAGAAGTGAATCTCTTCTTAGTATTCACTTATAATTTCCTAAAAGATGTGTTGCAATTAAAGCAAATCAGAATATTAGATCACTAAGGTCTTATCGAACTAAATTCTACTTTATCAATTGAAAGCGCTGTCATAGTGCCATTGTGATTTCTGTTGTTGGATTGCTACATCTGTGTTCTCCAACAACCAATCCTTATCTCTTCTTTATCTTCTTATGTGCAGGTGTTTGACCCTGATCTGGGCTCTTTCTCTTTCAGTTTTTCTCTTGAGAGTTTCTGTATCTCTGTGCACTGTTGACCTGATGTTTGAACTCTAGAAGATTAGCTAGGCTGATAAAGTCTTTCCTTTTAATAACGTAAGACAAACATTACCTCTTCTGAATGGCTGTTCCATGTTTTAAGCAGTGCTACTCACATAGACTGATTAATAAAATATTTAGCCATGTAGTTGTTAGTTTTATTTCACTTAAGAGAACATCAGTTTGTTCAATCTATTAACGTTTTCAAGCTCCAGATTTTATAGCCAATGCCAAGTATATTATGACCTTACTGACCTGATCAGATGTGTTTCTTTTTATTTTCTTCTTTTATCAGTCATGGGGCTGAAACTCTGGGCCTAGGCGCTGTCCCTAAGCTGTTCAGCTCAAGGCTTAGTACTCTACCACTTGCGCCACAGTGCCACTTCCAGTTTTCTGGAGATAATAGTCCCACAGACTTTCCTGCCCGGGCTGGCTTTGAACGGTGATCCTCACTCAGCCTCCTGAGTAGCTAGGATTAGCCACCGGCACCTGGCCAGATGTGTTTCTTAATGTGTCTCTGGAGCAGGTTTTTTTTGCACTTAATTCTGTTTTCTTACCAACATTGTGTGATCAGAATTGAGTCTGATCAGCCCCTGAATTAATAATAATGAACTATAGATGTTTTCAATGCTAGCAAATTATTGGTAACATACTAAATGTCATTTCAAGGGTTGAGCCTAAAGCTCCATGGTAGAGCTACTGCTTGCCATGTACAAGTTATTGGATCTCTCTCTCTCTCTCTTTCTCTCTCTCTCTCTCTCTCTCTCTCTCTCTCTCTCTCTCTCACACACACACACACACACACACACACACACACACACCACAGAATAGCTCATTGGAAACCCTGAAAAATTTGGGAATTAAAAAAAATGCTGTTGAGAGTTTCCCTCCCCCCTTAGTCTGAAGAAAACAAAGATGAGAATGTAACAAGCGTGTTTATTTGGGGTATAAACTGTTCTTTCATTGAGCAAACACTGTGATATGTTTATGAAGCCATGAGAGACCCGAGCGCATCCCTCGTGGTTTATAAGCAGGATAGCTCATCACTCTGGTATGGAAAAGGCAATTTCTTGAACTCAGAAAACACGCTCTTTAAAATCACATTCCTAGAAAGAATAAAGGTTCTTGTGGTAAAAGACTGGGAGACCTTGATGGTAACCTTTGTTTCTTTTGGAAACTTTTTCTCTTTTTTATCCCCTGACTTGTTTCTAGCTACTTAGTTATCTGTGCATGCAGACTTACTGAAATCCGATTTACTAAGGTGCATAGTTTAGTATAAATCTGTATCTTGTATAACTATGCACATACGTGTTTCTTCAGCTTCAACATGCTGTTCATACCTGATTGGCTCCATTGGAGGGTTCTAGGCTTTTCAAGCCTGAGTCACTTGAAGTATATTAAAAAAAAAAAAAACTCAGGTTCACAAGGACAATTTAGAGTTCTTATTTAAGTGACCTCTAACCCATTCCTCATTTTTAGGAAGCACTCTATGGCTGGGAACACACTCACACACACACACACACACACACACACACACACACACTTGAATGTCTGCTGTATTACATTATCTAAATGAATGCATCAATTGAATATTTCCTCTTCTCACAACATTGTAGCGCAGAGCAGATGTAAGAAAAAGAAAGGTGGTCTTACCAAAATATTTAATGGTAAAGGCAGACTCAACAGAAGCAAAGAAGTTAAAAGGCAAACTAGTTGCTGTACTTCTCACACACATGGTTTTCATAGACAGCTGGTTTCCTTCAATTTTCATAATTAAAGTTTCAGACAGCATCCCTGTATTCCAAGATGGTTATCCCATTTGTGGTTGCTTATTTCCTGTACATTTCCTTCCTCCAGCCCACCTCTTGGCCACATTAACATTACTTTCTGTCACAATCATTCCTGCAGGTGGTCACAGCAGATTTTGAAAAGAAAAAGAAATGGAAATCTGTTCAGGTTGCTTTGTGTTAAATTAGCATAGTTAGTGAAGAAAGGCCTAGCCTCTTGGCTACTATGAGTGTTCTGAAAAAATGTGTCTATTTCAGAAATCCACACTCATTTCTTTATAACTTGTGATCATCAAATGTGAGTCGGCTGATTCTCTGCAGAAAGCATAATGACAGTGGTGAACTGGGAAGTCAAGTTGAACTTGGAGGAAAAAAGTCTGTTTCTGAGATTTTAGGTTAGGCTTACTTTAAGTCAGTTTGGGAGACAAAACTTATGCAAGTTTTAACAATTAATAATAATTATGTAGGCATTAGGTTGTTCAGAGTGAGAGAGAGAGAGAGAGAGAGAGAGAGAGAGTGTGTGTGTGTGTGTGTGTGTGTGTGTGTGTGTGTGTGTGTGTGTGTGTGTGTGTGTGTGTGTATGAGGGAAGGAGAGAGAGATGACCCATGATGCAATGGAGACTCTACCTAGAGCAGAGAAAACTTGCTATTCTTTTCCATCGCTTGGCGAATGGATGCAAGCGGATCTTGGTGACCAGGCAGTGCACTGGATTAGCTGGTGTTGCTATGACATTCTCAAGCAGCTCTTGCTTTTCTGCCTCTTCTGAGTCTCAAGAAGCTGTGAAACAGCACCACTCAGAGGGATATTTCAAAGAGATGGACTTGAAAGGAACAATTGTGTGGGTTGGACAAATGCTAGTAAATGGTATCAGGAAAAGCCTCGGGCTCCGTTCCTTTTTCAGTGTGGCTGTGCAATGCAGCCGCGGCAGAATGAAATTTCTACACATAACGAGACAAGGGTCCACATTTTCCCTCCTGCCCTCACACACGTCTTCCTGTGGAGGGAGCTTGTCTGGACTTTGCATTATTCTTTCCTTTCCCAAAGAAGTGCTCCACACGCCTCTCAGCTTCTATAAATTATGGTAACGTAGCCATTGTTGATGTAGTGAAAGGAGTTAAGAAAATGGTTTTTTTTTTATTATTCATGAGTCTCTCATCGTAGCACACCTCTAGCTAACATCACAGAAAGCACCTGAGTGGGTTCCAGTTGTGGCAGGATTGGTTTCTTGGTGCCTGGCTAAGAAACAGAAATAGCTTCTGTTCTTCAGTTGCCTTGTTTGGGTTTATAAACAAAATGCTATGATGATGATTATTTATATCTCACTCATGCATGTTGATAATTGAATTATGTGTTACTCTACTGTTGAGATACTTGCCCTGTATGTTTTCTCAAAGTAAATATGGTATCAGAACAGATCACAGACGATGATCCTATTTCTCCCCTTCCTATCTTCTCCGCATTATTCTGCTGGAGATCTCTGTTTCTTCTCTACTAGTAATCTACTCAGTGCTGATCGTTTGAACAGGTAATCTTCTACAAGTGGGAATACCCTCTCCAAATTTTCTTATCCTTGAGTAATCTGCAGTGTCCTTTTTCTTTAGCACTGCAGTGACAACACACACCCCTGCCAATCAGACATGAATATTGAAGGAGCCTGGAAGAGAGGCTACACGGGAAAGAACATTGTTGTGACCATTCTGGATGATGGCATTGAAAGGACCCACCCTGATCTGATGCAAAACTATGTGAGTATTTGTTGCATCTGGAAGTGTCTCTGCCTTGCCATTAGAGTGCCTTCTGTTAGGACTATCAGAATGTACAGGAACTACTGTAAAAGGTAGTATTTGGTGCAACAGGCACTACTTGGAAGCTTCAAGCTAACACTTTGCTACTTTTGGATGTCCTGAATGCCCTGACCTATAAAAAGAAAGCTGGAAGGGAGCAGAAATCCCACCCACTGCCAGGTTCATGCCTGTAATTCCAGCTACTCAGGAGTCTGAGATTTGTGGATGGTAGTTCAAAGCCAGCCTGGGAAGGAAAGGCCATATGGCTCTTGTTTCCAGGTTGCCAGCATAAAGCCACAAGTAGAGCTATGTTTCAAGTTGTATAGCTCCAGCTTTTAATAACAAAAAAAGCTAAAGGACAGTCCCAGGCCCCAAGTTCAAGCCCAGTATCAGGAGAAAAAAAAGGGCGGGGAGGGGGAAAGCACTGCAAAATCATTTAGTTACCTTCTGCACAGTAGTTGAGTAACAGTCTTCGTCCTACATCCAGACCATTTTAGATAAACTTGGACCTTTTCACCACATAGGATTTAAAAGCTTAAAAGGAATTTCCATTTAGTCTCCTCATTTGATAGGCACAGCAAGTGAAGGCTGAAGACCAAAGTGAATTACTCAGGGTTAGATCTAAGGTCAAACAAACTCTGGCTGCTTGTGCCCTAGTGATGATGTCTTTTCTTGTCACGTGCAAAAAGGGGTTTTGCCACTTGCTGCTGCAGCAAGCTACAGATGACTATTTGATCAAATGCAAATAGCTTCTACCTCATTGTGATTGCAATCTTTTTCTCATTCGTTTTATTTTCTCCCAGAAAAAAAAGTTCTCTAGAATAACCTGTGCATTTCACCACCTTGGTGCCTCTTAGCTCTCCTTCTGAGAGCTAGAGCCATCAGAGAAAATATATTAGATAAGGCATCAAAAGGCTTGGGGCCCAGACTTGGTTTGTTTCATACAAAACAAAGGCTAGAAATTAACCTGCTGGGAGCCTCTGTTACATTAGTTTTGAGCCAAAGCCCAAATACTTCTTGCTTTCAGAAACATGACCCTTTGATAAAGACAGAAAACAAAGATAGTGTTGGCTTTCGCTTACATTAAAATTATGGTTATTCATAAAGCATATGAAAATTTACAACCCCAATAGAATAACCATAGTGATATAAACTTGAACAATGAAAGGCACAGTAAACTCTGAGTATCATAGAGATTTTTTCATAATCTTTCAAAACAGAAAAAGAGAAAAAAGAAACCAAGTAAGTCCGTATTTGGTTTTCTCATTCTGAAACCTTGGCGTAGGCAAACCTTTCTCATCATTTTGGATATTCCAGAGCTTGGAGTAAAGTGGCGCTGTAGCTCAAGTGGTAGAGCACTCGCCTTGAGTTGAAGAGCTGAGGGACCACACCCAGGCCCAGAGTTTGAGCCCCACGACCGACAAAAAAAAAAAAAAAAAAAAAAACTATACAGAGCTTGGAGTATTAGTAAAAGTCTGAATTGTAGGCTCTTCCATAGTAGGTACAATACCTGAAAGGAGATAGGTTACTTGATAACCATCCCAAGATACTTGATAGACTAGCTAATGATAATTTTAATTGGCTTGCCCCTTTCGTTCAAATAATTTTATCTCCTAATCATCGAATTACGATGAAGTTACTTACTCTAGACATCAGGTAAGAAATAGAGAAAGGATCTGGAGAATAAATCAGTGCTTCTAGATATGCAGCAGTACGTCCTTAAAAAGTTCAGTCATTGAGGACAACTTTGAATGATGCACATTTCATGAACTAGGTCCCTCTGGGTATTGAGAGAAAAAATACAGGCCTGGGCTGAACCAGACTCTCCTTTGGACTGTGTAGAATACTTCCTCACCTTAAGGAGAAACAATGCAGCCTTGATTATTATTACTGAAGCAATATGCTCTTGCTAAAGCCTCCTGATAGCAGTGAACCACGAGTGTATTAGTTAACCTAATTTCTCTCTTGCAGAAATGTGTTTAAGAATGCATGAGCCTGCGGGTCAATGGCTAATTAATGGCTGTTTCTCCCTCTCCCTCTTTCCTCTGTGGCCATAGGATGCGCTGGCCAGTTGTGATGTGAATGGGAATGACTTGGATCCAATGCCTCGTTACGATGCAAGCAATGAAAACAAGTAAGGCTTGAGTGATGGGTAACCGGCAGGGAGGGTTTCCTGAGAGCAAAACGCAAAAGGGAAGTATTTTCAAAACCCTTGTTATCAAATGATCTGTGATTTACCACAAGATGAATAATTGTTTTTCCACTAAAGTTCCTGGGATAGACAAAGGATGGTCTACATACTAAGCCCGGCCCGCACAGAGTCCGCTGGCTCAGCATTGGCAAAACTTGTAAGATGTCACTCCTGAGATAATTAGTCTATGACTCTTTTGTTTAGGGAGAGGAGAAACAGAAGAGTTCCTTTATTCTATTAAATTCAACAGATTTAATTGGATGCTGCATTTGGGGTAATTGCCAGAAGCTTTCTTATTTTATTTCTCCTTGCTTTCTTCTTTCTGTAAGTGATTGGGTTTTCCACTAATGTATAATGGAACACTGAGAAGAATTAGTGCTAGAAAATGGGATGTGGAATGTGGTACCTTTCCTATTTCCCCTGTCCATTCAAGGGCACATTTCCATGTTCTAGTTAGTATGGTGGTGTTTAGTGAGTACAGATGAAAATATACTTCTGCTTGATTAATACAATACTTACCATTCTTCTGTAAGTAGAAATGATTTTTCTTCCTAAAATGTCTGTTTCTTAAGAAGTTCAGTAGGGATTTCTGGTCACTGTATCACATTAATTAAATGTTTTTTTTTCCGTTTATTTAAAAGCTGCTCCAATATAATTTAGACTTTGTCATACATGTAAATATGCGTTTACATGCTATACCTTGAAAAATACTATGAAACTGCAATAAAAACCATTTTATTATGTGCTATTTCCAATCTACTTTTTCCCCCTTAGGGGGAAATGCTTTGCTATTATTATATGATTAAGTAAGTCAGGAAGTTTAGGTGAAATCATATGACCTAAAAATTATGATGGTAATGTGGGTCTTTTTTTCACCATCTACAAAGAAATCTCATCAAAGAGACTTCTTTGTAGAAGCATGCTGCTTGTGAATACGTGTAATCAATAAATCTGCCTGGTCAGAATCGGAGGAAATTTATATACATAGACGTATCCAGACCTTTGAAACAAAAAGACGAAGGGACTAGTTGGTCTGGATAGTTTTATTTTACACCTTGCTGTTATTGCAATGATTAGTGATTTTCACACATGGAGGTATAGTTTCAGACAACGTGAGCTGGTGTTTTCTAGCCTAATTACAAACTCAAATAAAAAAATCACTGGAGAGTTGAATTGTTTAAGATTTAGAAAGACACCCTACTAGAATGTATGTCTGGGAGCCTTGGGAATGTGAGAAACCTCAGTATTTTCAATTTTGCTCTAAATCTAAGAAATATTTGCTAAAACAAAAATAAGATACCACTGATAAATTTCAATATAAACTTCATTCTGCTATAATACTTGTGCTTTCCTAAAAATAACAGCCTTCTGCAGAATCCTAAAACTCAAAGTAATAAAAAAAGTTGAGTTGGAATCTAACACTTAAAAATGTCCCCCCCCACACACACACACACTCACACACACACACACTCACAAACACACACACACACACAAATTAGCTGCAAAAATGACAACTCACGTTTTCACACATCAGATTGAAATATACATAATACTACAGTAAAGGTGTACTTGTGTGGTCATCACACCTGCTCCCAACCATGTACTCACCAGCCTGTGTGCAAGAGAAAAATAGTAAGGGGTGGGCTGTAAAGGTAATTATTAAGGTCAAGAATTCAAATTTATAGATGCCAGGCACTGGTGGCTTATACTTGTAATTCTAGCTACTCAGGATTCTGAGATCTGAGGATTGTGGTTCAAAGCCAGCCTGGGGAGGATAATCTATGAGACTTTATTTCCAGTTAACCAGCAAAAAAAGCTGGAAGTGAAGATATGGCTCATGTGGCAGAGTACTAGCTTTTTGTTAAAGTTCAAGTGACTTGCTGAATTGAAGCCTCTTTGTACAATACATAAGAAAACTAACTAAATAAATAAAATTGCAAAAGAAAAGAAAGAAAAAATTAAGTAAGAATGAGAGGCCTTGAGCTCAAGCCCCAGTACTAGTGCCATTTAAAGGAAAATCAGAAAGCAGAGAAAAAAAACACGAGGAAGAGACAAAGGAAAGGAAGTTAAGCAGAGTAAATGACACCTCTAGTATGGCCTATTTGTAAGGTTGGCAGCTCAGTGTTAGTATCAGACGTGGCTAATTATTGGTCATTATACCTCTGAAGTGCGTAGTTTGTACTTGGCTCAAATCATCTGAGTGGTTTGTGTTTTGTTTTTTTTCAGAATCACCTAGAGTTTTGGGGAACAAAATGGTACATAAACACATGTAAGTTTCACATACGCTCAGGGTATCTCCTAGAATATCAATCATACTAGAAGAAATTGTTCTTTAAAAGCAAGCAATATAGCAGTACTGAATATGCTGAATATACTAGAATTACAAATTCTAGATCAGTTAACACCCAACTTATCATACTGCAAATTAGAGGGACAAAGAGGCATCCTAGGTAGAAACCAGAGACCAATGTGTTTATCTCTCTACCCAACTGTATCTGAATCGAGGTGCAGTAGTTTTTCCACTGAAACTATTAGCTATAAGGATGACTCTTTTCCCAGATTGCATCTCATCTCACTATCTTTGCTAACTTAGGTATCTGTATCTAATAAAGACAATAATCATGAGTATTGTCTTAAATGTAAATATATATATCCCATTTTTCTGAAACTGTAGTCGTTGTGGATTCCTTTGCAACTTGACTTCCCTCCACGACTTCTGTGTATGAAGACTAACTGTGGTCATGCATATTCTGGGGTATTCTGATATGTTTTGTTTTGGCCCATTCCAAGCATCCTCCTTGAATACTTGAACACACTAAGAGTTAGATTGCTGGAGGATGCCCACTGCATTGCCTGCTATGCTTTGAAGTCTCTACAGGGCAATAAGGTAGTTTTAGTCAGCAGTCCCCAGGGGTATAAAAATGTTTGGTATATCCACCATAGTTCTGGCTTATGCTGTGTTTTTCATTGCTCACTGAGAGCACATCTTCCGGAAATTATGGTTAAAATTTCCTCTTTACTCATTGGACCATCACTGCTCATTGAGGGACTCTGTCTTTAAAGCATGGATCCATAAATATATAATTCTCTTTAGATGGTAGCCATTTAGCAGGAAGAGTTGAATTGTAGTGTTAGATAGTTGACTTTTAGTCCAGGCTTTCTTTGATTAGCTTTATGGTTTTTCCATCTAACTACTCTGACCTTTGTTGCTTTTTTTTTTTCATCTCTAAAGTAGCATGATAATACTTAGCTCTGAAGAATAACAATAAAATGTTTAAAGCACAAAGTCGACTATATAATCGGTGCTAGATAATTGTAGCTGTTATTACTGTAATTATGTGTTCTATTCATATATCAAATTCTTCATAATCAGTTGGAATTACAATTATCTCAAAATATGTGTGCAAATGCGCACTTCAAATCTAACTTAAGGCTTGGATGTTTGTTTATTTCTAGAGTTAGAATTTTGGATGGAATATTCTGCCTCTTTCAGGGCTGGAATCTATGACCTTTAGTCCAAGCTGGGTTTTTTTTCCCCATTCCCCTCAGGAGAGCATGAATTTTTGAATGGGACGTAATATTTTTATTAGTTACTATCAGTATTATTTTTGAGATAACATACAATTGGTACACTGAAGGAAGCCTGAAACTGGAGGTTCCTGGAACCCTGAGTTCTGATGAGATCCTAAGGGAGCCTTGGGTCCTGGGCTTAGTGTTGTCAGCTCTTCCGGGAAACAAAGCCCACCACAGTCCTAGAAGTTGAGTTCTTTGCCAGTCTTGGATTTGATGTTTCTCTCTTGAGTGATTCTCAGGCTTTGGAAAACCAGTGGGATGGCCAAGCCCTGAACTGGCTGAGCTCTTGTTGCCTCTGGGAGCTGCCAGCTTCCCTATGTATAGCTGCTTCCCTCATGCAAAAGCCAGTGGTCATGGATGTCTTCTAATGCTTTCTTGTTTCCCAAGCCCCTCGTTGTATCTCAGTCTCCAGGCCTAGTTGGCTCAAGGCAGCTACCATGCAAAGAATGAATTCCCTCGTCTCAAGTAGGAGGCCCTCCCACAAGATGGCACCTTGTTGCAGCTCATGGAGATAGGCGGATCGAACGATTGTCCCGTCTGATGCTGGCTTTTTATACTGGGCTCGCCATTGACTCCAATTCACTGCACTAGAGTTTAAAGCTTCCAAGAGGTGTGGATTTTCCCCATAACTAGGTTTAGTAATTCCTGGAAGAGGTCAGCAGACTTAACGTTGTTTCTCCTCTTGTGCCAGGAACATTGTGTTGGTACCTAACCAATGCTGTTACCTAATTATCTCTGCCACCTTCGTGGTTTGATACATTTCAGCTCTCCCATTCCTCCGTTGGTGTTTCTTTAGTGCTTCTCTCAATTTTGTTCTTCTGAATATAGTCTCTACTTTGTCCCCTTATCTCTGTTTATGCACAGTATGATGGAGAAAACTTACACTCTGACATCTGTCTAACACTGTAATTTCTAATCATCATCAGAATAGGGATGTTGACACTTCTCCTGGGCATCTACCCAGAACACCACAAGTCAGGAGACCGTAAAGCCACTTGCACATCCATGTTCATTGCTGTACTATTCACTACAGCCAAGTTGTGGAAACAGCCCAAATATCCTACAATAGAAAAGTGAATCCAAAAAATGTGGTATCTATACACAGTGAAATTTTACACAACTATTAGGAAGAATAATGCCATTTGCAGGGAAATGGAGAGATCAAGAACCAATTATGTTAAGTGAGGTAACTAGTGTGGAAACTCGACCTGAAATACCAGGACATATAAATTATAGAAGTCTTTAGGCATTCACAGGCACTGAGACCAAAGGGACAGAAAGGCACAATGCCTAGGTGCATCTGATCATATCAAATAATGTTCGTTGAAATGAACAGTAGGAAAGGAAAACAAGAAGTTCCCCCCCCCCCC